GGCTGGGAAACGCGGCAGCTGGCAAAACACATTTTTGTTACAGTTCAAGTGTGAGTCAAGCAAGTACAGGCTAACTACTGCCCTGCGATAATACGATCGGTTAGCTCTCAAGATTTGGTTGCAACCTGACTCTTCCCCGTGACAACAAGTCTCTACGTATGTCCTCACCGCCGGTGTTAGTCTCAAGGGACTTGATGCTTGTGCTGGCACTGGTGATGGTATTTGCCGATGCGTTCTGTCTTCGCTTCTTGTCACATTCGTCCTCATAACATCCCTTGTAGTGGAAGGAGAGGGATTCCTTCCTGTGCCCAGTTGCTGACTGGTTATCTGCATCTGAAACCGCCTGAAAATCATCGCAGAGCTGAACTGGAACGAGTGCCTCACCTCATCCGTTTTCACCTGGACCCCCTCCACGATGAACTGCTGTGTAGCGCAGGCAAGCTGAAACAAACGAGTGGAAGTAATTTACGTTACCTCAGAATGACCGCTCTTATAGTGCTTTTTATCATAATCCTAATCAAATACTGCAAAAAATAATTCACCAACTGTGCTTGAACGCTTGTCGGTGTATGGTATTTGAAAGAAAATTTACATTCAAAATTCACTATTTATCCTCTTCCCACACAGCAAATTTGGGTTCTATTAAGACCCTATTTTTCTCTTGCATAGATTTGGTTGAAAATTCATCAAAAGAGTTATATAGACCAGCTGAAAACGGACACACTGCCGCCTGGCGCAAAAGACAAACACCAAAATTGCACAAGTTGTAAGGAGCAATTTGCGGGTATCAAAACCTGTTGGTAGCACCTAGTCTCTGACACGTATCAAGGCATTTTCTTTGCAGACGGATGTAATATTTTTGTTCACGGATTGCCAGGATAACTTATTATTAGCGAACTTTACCCCTAGGAAGACCTATCCGAATGTGGGCTAGAAACTGGCCCTAGGAAACCCCGGTGGTAGAAACATATGGAACATTCAGGAAAAAGCAACTCACATATAACCACCCGGATTCAGGGGATGAGTAGACGGATTGGCCAGAACCGTAGCAGGATTTGGCATGCCGTTGTGAGGCTCAGGAAGGGGACATGACGGCGGCAACAGAGATGAGACACAGACCGTTCCGTCTCTACGAATGGCCTTTTTTGTTAAGTGATTGAGTTTATCGTTGGGACCAATTTGAGCACCGTTCCAGCTGATCCTTTGTAATGAACAACAAACCTTGTACGACTCGGAACTGTGGGTGACGGACATTCGCAGGCCCCGGAGACGGAGCACACAGCATCTGGCCACACGGCATCGCACTGTTTCGAATCCACACACCCGGCCTCACCAGGATTAATCTCTGGGGAAGACTTTTCTTTGATGAAAGATTCAATGATTCAAATAGCAAATAAGAGTTAGTGCAAGAATGCTGAGTTATGGAAAAGACACTCGCCCGTAATCGTGAAATGCAGGGCCGAGCTTTGCCTGAGGTCAAATGCCTTGCCAACAACCCAAGGCAACTTGAGATATCTCTCTTCATTACGACTGTCGGGCGTCTGCACGTGCGGCTGCGTTTCCGCCGGTGCCAAAGATCATTTCTGCACCACATCTGTCGAAGCGGCAAGTGACATTACATGTATTAATAAGTCCTTCGTATTACTCGTTTTCTACCACTTTTTGTCGCATACGCGTTTCAACGAAAAGGCTGAGAACGGCTTCAAACAGTGTGCGCACTCCTACTGGCTGATACGCCCGACAGTCCGTAATGATGAGGAGAGTAAGCGTGTAGAACGGAAATCTATGGCATTCAAGCACCTCATCACCTCAATATCACAGTAGACTTCTCCGATAAAATTGAAAGACTCGCTCATCTAGTTTTTTTCTTAGCCCTGGTAGATATGACCTGTTCCTATGCTACGTGGAGATTCCTCTGAAGGAAATCATTACTTGGCAGCACTGATCTTCAACAGCGACAAAATCTGACAGGCATTGACAATTTCCACTGGAGCAGAACATCCCTCTTTGACAGTCGGTGTTGAAAATGCAGACGTCACCCACGAGTGAAGAGCCTGAATCTCATGCTACTTCAGAGAGAGACCACCGAGAAAACTGCTCACAAACCAGCAGCTGTTCGTCGTTGTCTTCTGGAGCCAGCCAGTGCTTCTCGAAGTGACGCACTGCCTCACGTTTGGCTTGAACTTGGCCCTCTGAGGGCAGCTGGACAAGCGTCCACACCCCGAATTATCACAAGACAGGAAACCAAGGTAGTGTTGAGAAACGACGCTGACTGTTTTAGCAGTTTGTTTAGCTATAGCCCATCTTCTAACCAGGAAAGGTCAACAGGTCAGCCTGGCCATTTCCAATGAGCTGCACACCGTTGTACGCGTCTTGGGACAGTGAACTCAAATCTACCTTCAGAATTTGCGGAACGATTCTCTGGACGGAGTTATGGAGGGTCTTATCCCCGCGTGGTCGTTTCACATGCTATCGCGCGGAAACGTGGAAGCGTCTTGACATTTATGTATGGAGTCATGCTGAAACGTGGTAGTAGAGCGCAACGGGTAGGGAGCGGGTTTCTTAGGCGAGACGTCGTAGGATCGATTCTGGGCAGCGTCGCTTTTTTTTGCATTTGTCTAAGAACATAGCCGACAAAGCTTCTAACATCTCTGCTCGCCTGCACTACCTTATAAGGGAACCTGCGATCAGTTTTTTTGAAAGTGTAGACCCATTGTAGCCTGAAGAGTGCTTGTACCCCTCGTAACACGTGTCACGAGGGTTTTTGCAATGAAATACCATCATTTTCATGTTCAGCGGGTTAAATTACCTCTAGGGACAAGTTGCTAACGAAATCGATTTTTCGACCTCACTTGGAAAATGTGGGCTGGGCTATTCCATGGGTAATTGGCAGCAGATTGGAGCACCTACTATCGATTACTGGTCTCGGAATGGGATTTCCTCCCGATAGTCAAGAAAATGATGCAGACGGCACAATTAAGTAAGCAGGGGTTGTTTTAGAAAAAAGAATGAACTGAAGAGTTATTTCAGTTCGAAGCCCAGTCATCACCAGTATGCTAGTCATAGTATCGCTGTTAGCTATCAGTTAGCCATGACTATCCATACCCCATTTTTTCGAAGTTGAGTCAGAAACTCAGATTTCGCTAAAATGACGTCTCTAGGGGTTATTTGACCCCCTGAACACAAATATGACACCTATTTTGCGCGAAGAGCGCTGCGAGTCGCACTACAGGTGCCAACGCTTCGGCGCCAGCGCGCCTGGAAGAAGAAAAACTAAAGAAAAAACCTCTCGTAACTCCGCTCAGAGAATCGTTCTGCAAATT